ATGCTCAAAATAGCATTTCCGAGCCTCTAGATTTCAAAATTTTCTGAGGGGGCATGCCCCCAGACCCCCCTAGCGGCTCGCGCCTTCGGCACTCGCTTCATTGCCTGCATTGCCCCCCCATTCAAAAAATTCTAGCTACGGCCCTGTTATATGGCTTGTTATTTGCACCAGAAGAAAATGTCCCTCGTACCACAGCTCTCCGACTTGATTCAACATGTCAAACCTGAGGCAAAAGTTCTCTCAAGCGCAGAAGGATTAAACAGATCGATATATAAAGCTTGCATAAAGCCGTACTATCGCTGCTTGAATGCCACGGTACAAATGATGACATGCCTTGTTTCGTCCCTCATTTCTGTCAGGCCTTTTCGTTTTTTCAAGGCACCAAGCCATAAAATTGTTTTAGGCAATCGACATTGAGTACCTGAATTTTTGATTTTTAACGCTGAATCCGCTAAAAATTACGTGAGCCGCTGTTAAATAATCTCGGGGACTCACAAATTTAAGAGTGCCGTTCTTATTTTTGCGGTGCCGTTCAGAAATGAACATGGAACAAAATCGAACATATTTTGTCGTGTAAATCAAGCTGGCCGTGCCCTAAACTATCGGTACGCGTGCCAAAATGAATGTCGTGTAAATGGGGCTGAAGATGATCAATTTTTGATGACAGCTGACCCGGCGTGTTTCGATGTGTTTTTGGGTCGAGGTCATAATTCCGGCCACCTCTCACAGGCTGGCGCCGCAGAGCGGCTTGAATACCGTGCACTTATTATTATTATTATTATTACTTATTTAGGTCCTAAAACAAAGCTCTCTTGGTATAATTCGCCTTTTCATTGATCGATATGGATATGAAAGATGATTAATTAAAAGTCACGGAAAGTTATACCAGGTTGGTCTGTGAACTGTTTATGCGTACATTTGCATGACTTTCGTTGTGGCCGGAATTAGGGCCACCAAAGCGAACTGTTATTTTTGATACTACAAGATTATCGATAAAGAACAAACGCTGTTGCTTTTACATATGCTAGGTAAATAATGCGACAAGTCACAGGTCAAGTTTCAGCTCAGGGCAATTCTTCTAATATTTCTCACGCATTCGATGACCTAACCGTTCTTCCCCTGCCGTTCTTACTGAAAAACTTCCAGCACGTGGTCAGAGGAAATAATTTACTATAAAAATATGGTATTTACCCTGCGAGCAGGCTGTCAGCTCCAGGACGATAGGAGACCCTATCTAATTTTCGACCGAGCGGAAAGTCTCCGCTTTCCGTACCCTCGTTAATATTCAGAAATAGGTACGCAAGACGTACCTGTGTGGCCCGCAGAGCGCGACAGTTTGGTAGTCTAGGCAGTCCCCAGTTTTTGCGCGGCCATTTTTCTTCTCTCTCTTGTTTTTCGTTTCTCGCTTGACGAACTAAAGGGAATGAGGGCGTGCTCTTAGACTAAGCAGTATTAGACTATGAGCAGTCCCTCTTTTTCCTTAGTTTGTCGAACGAGAAACGAAAAAAGAGCGAAGAAAAAATGGTCGCGCGATAACTGGAGACGAGACTCGTCGAGGAGAGAGACTACAGACAAAGCCACGAGGAATGATTTCTGCGTATGTGGATGGAATTATTGCGATCTAAAGCTTCGGTAGTACTATGACCTATGCAGTAAACGAAAGGCATTGTGCACTACACCACTGCTTTATTAATTACAATGATATATTTGGTAAAGATCATGCAGCTGCAGTTACAGGCGTGTTAACCAGTAATTATCAATCATCTAAACAGGAATAAACACAGCTAAGTAAGCTTATAGTAAAAAGGTTTTTAAAGTATTTTTTTAACCTAGTAGCCCACTACTATATTTTGGTTTAATTTCTACTCCGGTTTCTGTAGAAAAAAGCGACAAGGAGTATTCGACCTACTGCACTCTCCCTGGATGGGATGCTCCCGACATTATCGCCTTGCCCAACACTCACAATTGGGAGGCGGAGAAACTGAGGCACCGTGGAGTGAAATATAAGACAAGGCAGAGACCTGGACGCGTACATTTCCTATAACGCTGCTAATTAGTAGAATTTGATTTCCCCTTTGAGGATCTATTGCTTTATAATGATAACCTGATGTACTAACATCTGGGGACTCGCGGGCTAAGACACATTCAAAAGCTGGAAAACCACTTTTTTACTAGTTTTAGCTATCCTTTCAAAGAACTTATTTCCTGTTTTCTAACCGCCAGATTAACTTAAATCAGCAGAAATGTGCGTGGATGACTTACCGAGCTGTAACTGTACACTGGCTGAAGGTGCTAATTAATAAGAGACGATCAAAAAAACTAAGCAGTTGTTTTGTTGTGCGCCAAAAACGTTTAAAACACGCGAAAAAAGAGCCTGGGATCGAGGTCGTCAAAGAGGGTGTTATTTTTTCCTAATATGGTATAATGACGTCATGATCGAGTTATAATAGTTTTTATCGGCGACGTTAGACTGTTCACTATTATGGCAAATAAGACTTGAAAACGTTAAATAACAAACATATCAGTAAGTGATGAAGGTTATTGGTTCATTTTCATCAGTTCCTTCTCACTGCACCAATATGTATCCCATGGCTTTGATGTGCATGACTCCATTATCTGATGACCGTGTAGCCTCGTTTCCACACGTGTTGGAGTCATCATGCTTCCCTCCAGTACCAAACCCGATTCTGGAATCACACAGCACGCAGTCATTTTCGTTGTTACAAAGGAAACCGATTCTTGCTTTGGAATGGGAACTGTCAGTACTCGCAGCATTGAAACCTTCATTGTTACAGTTGTACTGTAACGAGGCCTGCGACCCAATCAGCGTCTTCCACGTGTTACGACCCAGTGAGGTGGCGCGGTAGTTCCCGTCAGCGATCAGTGAGTACAGAGAGTTGGCCTCCTTAGCTTGTTGATGACAATAAACTTGATATGCTGGTCGATCTTCATACCGAGACAGATCTTGGAGAAGGGTGTGTCCCAGTAGGTCGGTAACTTGGTCTCTTGCGTGTCAAACACAGTCTCCCCTCCAGGAAGGTTGTATTCGTTTGTATTATTCCAGTACTTCGAGTCATAATGAAAGGTGTTCTGAGAAAGAATAGGAAAATAAAAATAATTCGTTACGATCCACGACATCTGAACCTATCCTATTCTTTTTCATTGTACTTTGGCTTTTTGTTTCAATGATTTTTACTGTTCTTGAACGTGGTATGCACTCAGTACTTTCTGCGTTAAACCAATCCGATTTTAAAACAATAATATTCCACCATGTTCTGCACCAGAACTGACCCAAGTGCAAACAACCCTAATCGAGGGTCATGATAATCACCAAATTTGATTTGAAAAAATCGAAAACAATTTAAGGATGCAAAAATTGCAAAGATTTTAGAAGAAATTTTCGTAAAAAGCAAAAATCTCATGAAAACTGAAAATTAAGCTGAAGATACCACATTTGGGATAAACGGCCTGTCAAAACTTGGTTGCCATGGAAACATCAAGTCACGTGATCAAAACATTGACACACCAAAATTATCCCAGATAATAACCGCAGTTTTCGGTTTTCAAATCTTATGTTCAAATAGTCGATCAACTTAACACTATTCTGCCTGGGGGGGGGGGGGGGGGGGGTGCAGAAAGTGCCCGCGCTGACTTCAAATTTATCGTACTTAAAGAGCATTCAAGCAATCATAGCAAAACTTTATGACTTTGCCTAAAAATTATCTGGGAACATTTTGGTATGCCAATTTTTTGATCACGTGACTTGATGTTTCCATGGCAACCAAGTTTTGACAGGCCGTTTTAGCCAAATTTGGTATTTTCAGTTTAAATGTCCGTTTTCATGAGATTTTCGCTCTTTACGAAGAGTTTCTTCCAAAATCTTTGCAATTTTTGCATCCTTATATTGTTTTCGATTTTTTTAAAATCAAATTTGGTGATGTTCTGACATTTCTGAACAATTGAAAAATCCAAGATTTAGGATCCAAGATGGCGGATTTTTTTAACGTATGACGTCATTATGGCGTGTATGACGTCATAATTGACACGTGACTGCCACTAAAATAAAGATTTTCGGATGCTTTACACACCATGTAAGTTTCATTTTCATAGCGTCAATACTTTTCGAGATACATAGGGGGGGGGGGGGGCACTATCTGCCCCCCCAGGCTCAGGAACGAAAAAAAAGCCCAGGCAGAATAGGGTTAAGTGGCGGGAAAATGGCATTCAGGTTAACTCCCGCCTTAAATGTCATACCTTGTTCCCGTCAATCTTCATGACCGGCGTCCATCCCCCATCTCCACATCCAAAATCTCCCATGTGACAGAGAACGGAAGTTGGTTTTGAGTCAATATGGAGCGTAACCAGTCGAGTCACATTCGACCTGTTGAATATTAAAAATTTCAAATCGAAGAGCTAGAGACATAAAAGAGTTTCATGGGTACAAGCAAATTGTCAGGGCAGCCTGAAAAATACCTGCTATGAAGTTGCTTCATGTTATGCTTGTGGACAGAGTTTAACCTTAACCTTTTAATTATTTTAAAGCATATAAATAAAAGGGAACGACATCGCTGGTGAAAAAGATTGCTCGAGTTAAGCCGGCTACTTTAAGATAATTACAGTCGAACTTCCCCGCTAACGGACACCTCCCGTAGGCAGAGACCTCTCGTAAACGGACACTTGGTCATGTTCCCAGCCACATACAAACACTACATGATTTTTAACCTCTCATAAGCGGACACCGTGGTCAATCTTTCTGGTCCCGAGGGTGTCCGCTTACGGAAAGTTCGACTGTACACTGGCTTGTTAGTGAAGTGACTTACTTATATACGTAATACTCTTCCTTGCATGACGTCACAGCTGAAAATATAGAAATAAATATAGTTATTGATATCAGTAGTTTCGCTATTTTTGTGGCATGTCAGGTGTTTAAAAGAGAATTCCAACAGCACGTGGGTTACTGAAAGACTCCACTGATAAATATTAGTGGGTATAATTGGCCTAGTTTAATAGCTCAGTTGGTTGGGCGCCAGACTGCAGAACTGGAAGTCGTGGGTTCGAATCCCGGCCGGACCACCATTACCAGGGTCTTAAATAACTGATAAGCCGATCATGATGGCTGTGTTAAAATAAAGTTATTGTCTTAGTTCGGATGATCCCGTCATTGGGCGGTGGCGTTAGGTCCGGCACAGTTATCAGTTTTGATAACCTCATGACGTCACAACATGGCGCCATTTCGGAACTCGGTGAGTTTTCGGACAGACTCCACTTTGTTCGTTTATTTTTCGGTTGTGTTCGGGCTACCTACCCAGAATTCCAGGCGTTAACCTCGAGAGAACAATAATCTTCAAGTGTGCATATAAAATGGCGACCATCGGCAAACAATTATGCAAGATTTTCCTTCGCGATTTGAAGAGGTGGTTCAAAATGACAGTCAGTTTCAGGTATGTTTTTTCACTTTGCCGTCAATTTTCAATTAGTTGTAGATTTTTGTGGTACACGAAGAAAAAATGTCGTGATCTTCAATCTATTATCTTTCGATAAAACGCTTATTTATTGGAGTGCACGAACGATTGTAAGAGTGCACTATGGTATTTTGATTTGCGGTCTGATTCCGCTACTGACCGCCATGTTTAATTGCTTGTGCTTCTAGGTAATGAGTTGAGTTGGAGGGCAGCATTATGGATTTCCACAGGGAAAAAATTGCCTCTTTGTGTCGATTTTGTGCGACTGGATATCGATGATTCGATGCGATGCATGGGTGCTGCGGTGGAAGAAGTGAAAGGAAGAATCGCGAGCGTGATTTCAGAGCTCGGTGATCAAGGTATGTTGAGGTATGCTCTCACAGTACGATTTAATACGATTTGCCCAATATGTAATTATCCATTACAAATATATGCTCAGTGTTTTAAGCCAGGTTTATACCAGGCTCGTAACAGTTCGAGCTCACGGCTGAGCTAGCAAACAACCTCAATTGGTAGAGTCGCTTCGATTTTAAAATATCTAGGACAGATTGAAGCGACTCTGCGCACGTCGCTGCTCGATCGAATCATCGCCTCTCGCGCTTTTGAAATTCTCAATACCAGAAAGAAACAGTATTTATTTGAAGTCCCATTCTCACAATTATTTACAACACAAACATTTCTTTATTCATACAGATTGTTGAAGGGCAAGAAGAAGAGGAACAAAGCGCGAAGAAGTTCAAAGCATGTTAATGTTTATGCAATAAATCCACTCAATAAATCACGCATCTTTTATGAAATGTTATTGCTTGGTTTTGGTGTCTTTATATTGATCGGCGTCGCTCATGAAATTCCGTGTTTAGCTGAAGGCGCTCAAGGTCCACGAGTGCGCTAGGAGGCTCTCGATCGAAATCGAAATGAGCTTTGCCAGTTAATTATGGACAAAGGTTAATTCGTATTTGCCGGAAGTCTGTGCAAAATTCCTTTTCTAAACCTTTCCTTTTGTACAATTTACTGTACAACCGGAATCGAATGTTTTAAAAGAGCCTACTATGTTTTCTCAGTGAAATGACCGCCATATTGAAAGAAGACGGTTGCTATGATTAACATGTCACGTGAACTTAAACTTGAGATTTGATTGGCCAATAGTTTGTTTTGGACCCGGTTATCAAAACTGATAACTGTGCCGGACTATCCTACATGTACTGTTCGTAAAGAGTAGGGCACGAAGTTCCCCGCGCTGTCGTGGTCAGGCCTGTAATTCTATATGAATGTGTTGTCCGTCTGTTGCTCGGAGATATTAACTGATTCAGCTACTCTGTAAATCCGAGGATAAATAAACATGACGTTTGTATGTATCGTACATATTGGAGATTGTGAATGTGTGGATGAGTTGGTGTAAGAAAAATAATAGGCTTAGATTTTGTTAATAAATTTCAATAAAGGAAGCTAAAGGAATACAAGCAGAAAGGAAATAAGTGTTAAAGTCAGAGTAACAGAGAAGGGTTATAAAGTTGATGGTTCAGGTAGACATAGAGAGTATCTCTCTGCGGTTAGCTTTTGCTTTGGAAGGTGGGAAAACTTATTACAATTAAATTGCCAAAATTAGGGTTAGCCCGTTCCATACGCAGAGAACCAGTGCTGTATCCTTTCCTGATAACTACATTGTAGTACCCTTAAGGTTAAGCCCTAAAAACTGCGGCTAGTCCGTCCTAGGCATAGAGCTCGAGAACTAATGCTCTAGCGGTCTTCTGTGCATTCTTCAATAATAACAATACAACGTCTAGTCGCTTTATGCTACGGAAGTACGTGTACTTAGCAATACTTCTAATTGCTTAATGCTACGAACAGCTTATCCGCAGTCCCTAGGATAGGAACAAACCGTTATTGCACTGACATGCATAAATTGTATGCAAAATTTAGACACGTAATTCATGCTTATTATCAACGGCATTTTACCTTTTTCACAGTAGTTTCCAGTCCACCCTGATGAATTACAGGCACACGTGTAGTTCACGTGACTATTCACACATGTTGCATTGTTTGGAAACTGATGTTTGATGCAGTAGTCGGCAACTACACCATGCAAAAAAGTGAAGGAAAATAAATGCCACGAATGTTTAGTAAGAAAGCCGTTAATTGTTCTTACCTCCTGTTTTCATATCACAGCGAGCTAGAATGGAGTTTCCAGATCTGGTGGAATCCAACCAGTAATTACCGCTGACTGCTTGTCCTCTTTCACTCGCCTTGATCTCGTTGCACGAATCAGCAGGCAGCTCAGGAATGGAAGCGAGGGGCACTGGGAATGAATGAAATAACCTCAGAAGAAATTATTCTCGTTGTCTAAGCAAAACAATAAATTTTATCAAATTTTGACGAATTGCGTTAACATCAACACTGCAAAAATTGTTCAACGTTTGTGAATCAGTTTTGGTACCTCTTTTTGGAGCCTACATCATGTAATATCTGTCGCTGTTCTTGACAAAGTCCTCTGGCCTGGCCTCCTTAGTCCTGTTATTCAACTCACAAATGTGTTTGAATATGACGTAGTTATAACTCTGACATCTGACGTCAGAGTTGCACGCATGTCTGCAGTCATGTGAACCTGGTCGAACCTTGAACGTGTTAAATGTGTGGCCCTTAAGCATGGCTTGATAGATGGAGTATGTATCGACTCCACATTGTTCAAGGCTGGTAGTTTTGTGGAACATTAAAGACACCATAAACACGAGAATCTGTTTACAAGCCATTTGTGTTGCATCGGGTTGCAATTTAGTTTCCTACAAAATAAAGATTATTTTCAGTACTTGATGAATGTGTAGAATATTCTCTGGTTGCGCGGGATAAGTAACAGTTATATAGAGGCAACATTTATAGACGGTTTCTCTCTGAGTCAAGGAAAACCTTATCAAGTTCTGGGATTATGACACACTTGGGGTCTATGAGGATAATAATTTAACCAAAGTAAATTTTAATGGTAGTCATTATGAAGTTTCCCTTCCATTCAAAGTCTTCAAACAGTACTATCCCATCATTCCAGACGGCAACTATATTTGACAGGCTGTCATCTTCATGTATTGAAGGGGCTTTTTTTCCGGCAGCCTACGGCCTCGTCGGCTAAGTATCAGGCGATATTCCGCGCGATTTCGCAGGATAGTTAAAAAAAAGCAAAGACAAATATTAACTTTATTAAAGTCATTCACGTGTCTGCATCTCTTTAAATATGTAAAAAAACCTCAGCACTAGGATTACATGATGTTGGACAAATTCCGACATGCAGACCTTCCGAAATTGCGACATGACAATGTTTGAAATCCAGACGGGGACATGCCTACCCACCTAACAGGGCCTCATTCATGGGTTAAACAATCAATCAGAAACAATTTTAGATTAAAGCAAGCTTCCACACGCTTCTTACATCATGCAAAAAGTGAAGTTTGAAATCATTAATTACTGAACCGAAAATCTTGACTTCTGCTTGCCGGGAATACCCTTCAAAGTTTTCCAAAAATAGGAAACTGAATTTTCGACAAGAAGCCGTTGCAGACGTTATCGAAAGTGAAAATTTCCTGGCGATATAAATATTAAAAAAAAAAAGGATTCAGTTCCACTGACGGTCATAAGCTGTCTTAATATAAATATGTCTTAAATTTAAGTTTTTTCTCTTTATTTATTTTTGTGGAAATAGAAAATTTACCCCGGCGGCTTCGCCCGTCCAAAATTGACAAGTAAGTCATTCGGTTCGATTCTGAGTATAAACTGGACTAGCTTGGTTTGAAATATTGCATTTTATTTCTACCAAACCAAGATTATTTTAAAAAGTTCCCGAATAAAGCTGTAATTAAGAAAAATATAGACAAAACAATCTTGTTTTGCTCTAACTATAAGATGTATAGGAAGCTGCGCTTAATTTTTGGCCGAGCATCAAGTTTAATTTCATAAGTTGAGAATCAAAGTATACCGACTTCGTTGTGTGTACAATAAAACAATATAACTAAAATTTACCCGGAGAAGACGGCTTAAGATTTGAATCAGATGTCTTTATTCTAGGCGTAAAATTAATCGGTGTGTTTCAGCTTTAATATCTGGATAAATATCGGAAAATAGAACTATTTTAGCGTGCCAAATATTACTTCTTGGACTGAATAGAACGATAAGCCTAAACAGTTTGCAAAAATATATTCGCGAAGCCAGCCCAGTGAAGCTCATTTCATGGCTTTCCGTTCTACTGAGTTAGTAAATTATTGACGATATTGTTAGAAAAAACCTCAAGATTTGACTCAAGATGTCAAAACGCAGCCATTTTAGGGTGCATAGGAGCTAACTGAAAACGACGGTAGTCTTGACCTGGCTACGACAAATTAGGGTTTTACAAAATTTATAAAATGTGTCCTCACTAATGGACTTAGTTTCCTAGTCGTAATCATGTTCCAAGAGGGGTTTTGTAGAGCTCTTCAAACGAAATGATTCCAGACAATTATAATGCCGGATGTCTGTTTCTAATGCCAATACAAGTTATTTAGTTCCACGATAGATCGTAATTTAAATATAGGCCCCGAGAAAATTATTTTAATTTTTGTTTAAAATATAATTTAAAACTCACAAACCTGTTTC